TGGCCTCAGTCACAGCTAATTGACGAAAATATATATTGCTCGCATCAATGAGGGGTGTTCGTGCGCGCCAGGTCTACACGCCGCACGCCTGTAATATTAGCTACTTACGTATTCCATTGCCCGGTTTTTCAGCTCCTTGATTTTCGTTATGCAACCGGATGCAAACGGCCCAAATACTTATTTGTTACGTAGGATTATTTAAATAAAGCAGCGCGAATTCAAAATGACCGCCACGGCTTCATATAAATAACCAATGTATCGCATATAAATTCAACCTTACATATAATGGGAAGTGAAAAAATTAACTGCTTTGTTTTTAGACGTTAATCATCACTAAGATTTGTAAACGGTTTTTCTAATACGATAAATGTCGATCACATTGGCAGCAAAGATAGCTTGACACAACTACTTTCAATAGCGCAACTTTGTTTATATACATATTATTGTTTTGTACTAATAATTTGTAAATGCAATGGTGATATAAACCCATTATGTTTTGAGTATTTTTTTTTTTTTTTTTTTTTTTTTTTTGCTGCGTGTAAATCATGCAAATTCTTCCCAACAATACAGTGCAAACCCAAGGCTTACACACAAGCAACTTAGACGTCGGGAAGTACAAGTTACGTCAGTGCTCAAGCAATCAGATGCGACGGAGAACAACAGCATTAAAGTGTTATACAGCGAAGAAATTATCCAATCCAAACACAATCGTTTCGAAAGTCGGAGGTTGGCTGAATCTGAAATTTTACTGAATTGGGATCCTCTTCCCCCCTATGCGAAATTTTAGGTGAGGACATGTAAACTTCTGATTGACTTCTTGATGTAGATCACATTTCACAAAACAATACTACAGTGAAAAAACAACAACTCACAGTGGGCAGCCATAGCATGTATGTACAGCTTCCTCCTCTTGTACCGTACCTGGTAAACCCATTCTTATTGGACAGTAGACTGTAGATGTGGCAACTCCAGTGTTTGTTTACATTCTTGTAAAAGCACGGTCAACACTTTTGAAACGTATTTCGAATTCTATTTGAACATCTGCTTAATGTATAGCGCAAGACAGATTCGAAGCTTCAATTCATTAAATGACTTATGTAAATTTCATTGTCACTAGGGACGCTGTTATCTACTGGCTGCTCACAGTTACTTAAAGATCGAATAGAACATAATAAATATGTAGCGAGAATAAATGAGGGAGGGTGACAGAGAGAGTAAATGAATGAGTAAGTATGTGTGTTCACACACACACACACACACAAAACCCACTAAATTATAGACCAGGCTAACTAGAGTAGTATACAAGCTGCTAGAAAGAATAATTAGGAAACAATGGGTTTACATATTTGAAAAACACGAAATGATATCAGATAAACAATTTGGTTTTAGAGAAAGAAGGTCATGTGTAACAAATCTCTGTTTTTATGAGTATCTGAAATATTACAAGAAAGAGACGGCTGGGTGGATTGTGTGTACTTAAGACTTTAAAATGGCTTTTGATAAGGTGTCTTATAGAAGGCTACTATGGAAATCAGAGCACCTAGGTGGAGTGAAAGGCAAACCACTCGCATGGATGAAAGAATTTCTTCATGAAAGACGGATGAGCACAGTAATTAGTGGAAAGCATTCTACATGGCGACGAGTAACCAGCGGAGTGCCTCAAGGATCGGTGTTAGCACCGATGATGTTTACTATTTTCGTCAATGATTTAGTCAAACATAAGCCCAGGTATTTATCTGAATGTGTTTGCAGATGACGCAAAGATACAAAAAAAGGTAACAGACGTCTCATGCCTATGCCTCCAAAGTGACATCGAGAACTTATTCACGTGGAGTTGTACATGGGAAATGGAATTCAATTCCAATAAATGCCACATAGTCAGGTTTGGAGAAAATAGAAATCGCCCACTATTCCAATATAAATTAGGGGCGCACTATTAAACACAACTGACCGGGAAAAAGATCTTGGGATAAACTTAAATAGAAACCTAAACCCAAATGATCATATAAATGAAAAGGTTTACAAAATGTTAGGTCTGATTGCCAACATGAAGAGGGCACTCGTGTATGTGGACGAAGATATGGTAAAGATCATTATAACAATCATAAGGCCAGGTCTTGAGTACGGTGCAGTGGTGTGGAGTCCACACTTAAAAAAGGATATTGGCAAACTGAAAAGAGTTCAAAGAGCGGCCACAAGATGGCCACCTACTCTTAAGTGATCTGAGTTACGAAGATAGACTACTACCTTGAAATAAAGAAGGAAAAGGGGGGACATGATTATGCTGTTCAACTGTATTACAAGATAGATAAAGATGACTTTTTGATCTTGAACACAAGAAGAACGAGAGGACACAACAAAAAGTTGAAAGTAAAAAGAGATGATAAAGATTTTAAAAATTATAGCTTCCCAAACAGAACCATTGAAACATGGAACAGAGTCTCCAAACACGTAGTGTGTGCCAAAACTGTGCATCAATTTTAAAAGTTATACGACAATTTAAATATAGCAGACGGGACCACCTGAGCTTAGCTCTTCTCCCGTACTGAAACTAGTCAAGAACACACACACACACACACACACACACACACACACACACACAACACACAACACACACACACACACACACACACATATTATATATATATATATATATATATATATATATATATAATATATATTATATATATATATATATATATATATATATTATATATATACTTATGTATATAGATATCTATATACATGTGAATATATATATATATATATATATATATATATATATATATATATATATATTATATATAATATATATATATATATATATATATATATATATATATATATATATATATATATATATATATATATATATATATATATATATATATATATGTATATATGTATATATATATATTTATATATTTATATATGTATGTATATGTATAAAATATGTATTAATATATATATACATATATATGTATACATGTATATATGTCTATGTATTAAAATAGGTATGAATATATATATATATATATATATATATATATATATATACATATATACATATATGTATATGCATATGAAATCCTTAGTGAATGGATGTGTGCTTTGGTGCTATGTGAACAAACATCATTTACCCTAGCTGACAGGAAAAACTATTTTACCTATTCATACCAAGATGTTTTGCATTGCCCTACAATGTAAACTGTAAACAAACACTATGCACTATAGGGATACCCAACTTTCCAGATTGTAGCACCAAGAGTAGTCACAGCTGCTAAGTTATTCACACTGTGGTGCCGTTTACCAAGAGTAGTACTGTAGGGTTTCTGTGGCGCATTAGTTAACAAGATTATATTAAATTATTGTTACAAGTAATCTGTGTAAGTTCTATCATACTAGTTTTTATATGCAGGCATTCCATCGGGAATTGTGTAGTGAACAGTTGTTCATTTTGGTTGGTATACAAAAATATAGTAAAACGATTTTTAGAGGCAAGGGAAAGTAGATAGTATGTGGCGGATGATAAACACGGTATCAACCAAGCCATCTTGAGGGGTTCTGTATCATCCATTATTTAGCTTGAACGAGACATTGATGAGACAGCAGGGATATCCTGCATTTGTGACAAAATGGACCATTTGAGTTTGGACACACTTTTCATCGTGTATCAGAATGTGTGAAAGCATCAGAGAGACTGTAATACTGCAGAGTTGCGTTAGCAACTGGAAAATGAAAAATAAATGTCCTTCCAAAAATTAAGGCAACGGTTAAACAGTTGTAATTAAATAGTTATAATTTACCTCCTTTGTGACTAAGCGCTTGTGGTGCCATCTTTGCGTAAATAAAATTCATAAACTAATACCACACTGGACACCGCATATATATCATGTTTCCATGGCATAGTGGGTTTAACAGGCTAATTAGGTTGGCATTCTTTACTTATATATGCGATATGTAAATACAGTATACATGTCTGCAACATATAACTGCACGCAATAGATATATAATATATGTTTTTGCTGTATTGACAAAATACATAACTTACTCTTCAGGAGATTTGGACTTCGTTGTTGATGCATTGAAGAAGGTGTTCCACTGTGAATCCTTTCTTAAAGGTGCAGCTTCTTTGCAGCATAACAACAAATTATGTCAGTGCAGGGATAGAAACATGAGGGAAGAAACACTGGATAGATATATGTAATTTTATTCTGGTTATCCTGTATTAAATGTAAGCTTATTTTTAGCATTTTGAGGAAAATTGGCAGATTAAATGGGTATTTTTATGTGTCATAGTACCATAAGAGAGTTGATATGTAGATCTAATGAAGATCTACAGATAAAACAAAGTGCATCACATGTATGTTGAACATTTAATTGAAAATGAGTGTATTAGTGATCAGCATTTCGTCAAATTTATTCAGATTTATATTGTTTGGGGAAAATCATTTATGATTATTTTCTCCATCCATAGGATATTAGCCAATGCATTTCTCTGACCTTAATTTTACAAGGAGTAGTTGATATCTATTTGGAATTATTCCTATTTTTTCTACAAATGTTTGTATATAGTGAGGCATCAGCCAGTAAGTTATTTTTGAATCACATTATCTTCACCTTTCAAGGAGATTCAAAATTGTGTTGTAAAAGATTTATAAGCAATATCAGCGTCATTTGGAGACATACCATCACATTTCATACAATTACATATGTTTCCACATCTTGGTTAAGATTTATTTACTGACAGAAATTGTGAGAAATTGCACAAATGAATTATAGGATATGATAATTTAGCTTCAACAAGCATAGTGCAAAATGTTACCTAGTTGCAATGTTACCATTATGGTAAACAATGCAAATGCAACACTAGAGCCCAGATTTCATTGTTGATATTAGTATCAAGTTTTGAAAACTGCATATAAAATTGCATTAGTAAGAGTTTTACACAAAAATTAAATTAATTGCAAATGTTATGGTTATTACAGAAATTAGACATTTTAGATCGGAGTCTCGGCTCTATGATCAGTTACATAATTTGCTATAATTTTGGTAACTTTGACTGGTTGATCGGGAAGTGTAGGACGCTAAGGATGACACATCGTATTATAAGCAGATAAGGTTATGAGATTAGAAATAATATAACTTTTTTATAATCATAATCATTAATGCCATAAGTACAATAGTTAAAGCTATATGATATATGAGGTAGAATAAGAATCAGGGACTCGAGAATTGGTGTGTGTTGGTGGAGGGGATCCGCATACTAAGTTGTCTAATGACCAAGTATATGTATTTACAACCTCATACCTACAAATGGTAGATATCTTTTCATAACTCCTGTGACGGAATGGCGTCAATGTACCAACGGCGCGTAGTTTTAAAATACTTAAATGTATATATTTCGTACTGATGGTGTTTTGTGTCCTTGAATTTTGTGAATTTGTTCTTGATTAGATTGCAAGTATGTGGGAGTGACAGACATGCACAATTCATTATCTCCATATATCAGTAGTGCAAAAAGTACTTCTGTGACTTAATCGTAAATAATACTCATGTAAATATTCTGCTGTTTCTTTGGAAAAGTATTTTTTTCTGATGTGGGGCTACTTTATTAGAACAAAATAAGCAGTGAACAAAAATTAACCTTTTTTTATTTAAATTCAGTTTTTGCATAGAATATCAAGACAAACACACATATACATCTAAATATATATAATATATATAAAATATATTATATATAATATATATATATAAATACATTTAAATACACATACTCACACACATATACACCCGTGTACGTGTACGTGCGCGCACGCACACGCCACGCACACGCACACACACACACAACACACACACACACACACACACACACACACACACACACACACACACACACACACACACACACACACACACACACACACACACACAAACACACACACACACGTATCTCTGTATTTTCTCATACCTTTGATATACCTGCTCTATTTTACTTTTTTATTATATATATATGAATGTAGAACAGTAGTTTGAAATCATATTTTCATGTTTGAACCCATTTATACAAGGCTCATCTACATATTAATTTGATAACATTATACTGGAAAATTTGTTACCTTTTGATGAAGATATGGAAAAAGAAACTGAATTTTAGCAAGATCTGATTTTTTTTTAGGAAAATTAAAAATGAGCAGTAATCTGAAATCAATTTACCTAAAACTAATATTTAATGCAAAGTCCTACATTTGAAAAAAATAGGATAACTGTTTATTAACTTTTTAAAATTAATTAAAGCATGGTGTTTAGATCTCAGATCTGTTTTCCGGGCTTTCACCCAACCTGTTTTGAGTAATCTGGAATACCTTCACTGGGTCTCGCAAGAGGTCCACGTGATATTTTACGACCCAAAATCAGTCCAAGAATTTGACAGATAACAACCATTGGTAACATGCATTGATAAACAATCAACGGTTCGTGCTCGGGGTAAGGCCACGCGAAAGCCCAAATGCAGTAAACGCAACTTTCGACTACCTGTTCCCAGAACTGGAGCAGCGGATTGAAAGTGTACTTGTCGATTGGATCACCTAGGAGCTCAACATTCCGTCTCACTTTCGCATAGGCGAGGCGAATGCCAAGAACGATGATCCCGACGATTTTGGCGGTAACGTAGATTGAAAGAGCAGATAAGAACATTTCCACGGCGATGGCACACACCAGAAGGGACCTGCTGACTGTAAGGGATATTTGTGTAAGGAAAAAACTTGTGGGGAAATACTGAACATTATTCCATATTTAGAATGATATCACAAGTGATGATTAATAAAGAAAAACATGCATTGAGAAAAAAAAACATCATGCGCCCATGTTTATTGTTAACATCATTATGATATATGTACTGTGACCAATTGATGTTGCACCCATGGTATATTCGTCATACTGATATGGGTATGAATGGGCCAGATTTATGAGATTTGAAAAAGATAACGCTAAATTTGTGCAGTAAATTTTGAGAGCATTAGTTATAAAAGCATAAAGTCTTACCGGTAAAGAAAACTCTGAGGGGCATGAGCAGTAAAACATTCTTCCAAGTGTCGTCCACATTGTGCCTAGTTAACAGCCAAACTACCACACCCACTGCTGGGTAAGTATACACATAGACAGCTGAGGAAGGAGAACAAGATAGTAGTATGCATTAAAAGTTTATATGTACTATTTATCAATATTTAATATTGTCCAGTTTGTACACAAATCTCCCGTATCTGAAACTTACTGCGCTTATTAATAAATGGAAGGTCGAACATAGCGTAGAAAAGGCTGATAGTTGAAGGCCACACCATCGGCCATATAAACTTATTGAGATCGACTTGTTTGAAAGTTTCAATCATGCTGCTACTCCTTTTGGTGACTTGGAAATTCTCAAACCAGAGATACGTAACGAAGGAAATGACGTAATGGTTATCATTACAAATAACGAGAGGGTCTTTCTGGATCACACGGTCGGGAAGTTCGTCGGCAATTGCCTTAGACTTTGATACATGGAGAATGTCATCTGATTCATTAGTGATGATGTGGTATGACAGTTTTTTCCTTATAAAGAGATGTTTCAAAGTTCTTGTGACGTATTTGCAGAAATTACGTTCTCCGACGTAAATTTCAGGTGAGTCCAACGATAGCCTTATGTTCCTCGTATTATTATGGAACCTGGTGCTGGTTACCTGGAGGGCCGGAGAGTCATTGTCAGGGACAGAAGCATCCTGTTGGCTGGATGCACCTGATGGCGAAGCAGGAGCTAGCCGGGATGGCACGCAACTTCCAAACGTGTGTGGCGAATCCACGTCTGGAAGCTGCTTCGCGGACGGCTTCGAGGCAACCCAATTTGCGTACCTGGCTTTCAGAATCTTTTGCTTCCTGATTCTTGGGTCTTTCTCGATGGCAGCCATAAAGGCACGCCATACTTGAAGGCACAACCTGGAATTATCAAAGGAATTGTCAAGGCAGAGCTATCATCTCTCTCTCTCTCTCTCTCTCTCTCTCTCTCTCTCTCTCTCTCTCTCTCTCTCTCTCTCTCTCTCTATGTTATTATATTATATGTTTATAATATTACATATATACAATACATGTTTATAATATTACCATTACACATTATATGTATGGAAATATATATGCACTGTATATAAATATGAACAAAAACAGCTACAATAAGAAGTGAAATAAAATCGTAACATTTCGGACTCTTCGCGAGTTCCTCATCAGGCAAATAATTTACCGAAATGGTTACATGAAGAGAATTTTGACAAGATTATATAGTGGTAGAGATGAAATGAATAAAAGCTGAATCATATCTCAGATGGATTGTCAAGGTGAAAAAGTCTGCTATCATTGACCAGGGCCCAAGCTGTGATTCTAATGAACAGTCCCTAGCATTCTTTTTTCATAAGAATTCGCTGACCTGTGAATTCAGTGGCTTTTCACTTATGCTGGTGGCTTTCAATACATAAATGAAAGAAACAGGCATTTTATTTTCTGGCATACCTAATATCACGTTTATGCATATTTTTTTTCGAAAGTTCTATCAGTTTCGCTTACTAAAACTAAAGGCACTGCATGATATCTTTACCAAGGATGGAGAAAGCTAAAAAAATAGTGGGGGGGGGGGTGCAGGGGTCCCTAGTGAGGGCTGTAAGGGGACGTTCACTTGATCGAATAGAGATGTGACTGGCTACCATATACCCGGAAAATGGTTTAAAAAATGGGTCGGAACTAATTACGTCACCAAAATTAGCCTATAAGAGTGTACCATGAGGTAACAGAGAAAAATAGGTACATAATTATTTGTATAATTTACTCGACATTGTTATATCCATTTTATCATTAACAGCCGTCAGAATACTCTTGGGAAAAGTACATTTCTTTTTTGGGTTCAATAGGCTATATGAAAGTGGAGCTACTTGGTTTTATGTTCCTTGCAAAGAATAGTGTAAATACCTGGAGAAGTATAGAGCACAGTGATGGACTGAAGTCATTTTATGTATTGAAACCGAATCTATCTTCCCCTTTACAAAAAGTGTGGCATTAAGCAGTTGTTCGAAACGGAATTCAAAAGTTATGGCCATGTCTGTACCACAAGCCACGTGTTTCACCATTGTGTAATGCATTGTGTTCAGATATGTAAAAACAATGTTAATTCCAGCTCTATAAAACATATAGTGTATATCATCGGGGGACGGGCTGTACGAAAAATTAATGGATCACTGGCACTATTCTCTTGCTTATTGCGGGAATGAGTATAGGATTTTTATTTCGCAGATGAATGTACCAGATTTAAGAAAAAACAAGGATAACCTAATCTGGAAATCATTTCAGAAATGACATCGAGCTCCCGAATGATGAATTCACTATTACAGATCCTGCGTGCTGTAAGGAACATTGACAGGACACCTGACTTCTACAACGTACATCAGGTGATTTCAGGAAAGATGAAGGTTATTAGCGGTTTGAGTTGGTTTACGGTAAGCCGAAAATTTAATCCAGCCATTCACTATGAATAAGAGAACGCCGTGAAAAGGTAATTTACCTAAATCTACCCATTCTACTTTAAATTTGGTAGTATGGGCGAGCTTGTTAAGTCTTGAAAAAATCATCGAAATCTGAAAAGTTCACTTGTCACATAGAAAAAATATCAACAGTATATCGAAGATAAATCGTATCTGAAGGGATAAAATAGGGAGTTTAGATTCATACACCTACATGTATAAATTTGCAAGAACTAGGCTAACACTACTTCCCAGGTGCGAGACCGTTAAATATGATGTGATGAATTTTTTCTTTCAAAAACATACTGCATCATCAAACGGGACATTAGTAAATAGGGAATCCACATCAAACACTAATTTATTTCTCCATGAAATAAATTAAATGTTTAATATGATTATCAGCGAAATATCTCATTAATGGAGATAAAATGCTCGATAGCCAAGGTTCTAATGGAGGTGTAACT